TATCATAATAAATCAATTTAAAAAGATGAATTATATCTATACATCATGTAGTGATTTAAAGGATCAAATATTTGATTGTCAAATGCACATAGAAATATCATTTTGTCTATCATGACATAGTATTTGGCAAAGACCTTGGTGATCAGTTCCATCCATCAAGYCAACCAGCACCAGTGGTGGTAATGAAATGTGTTCAAGCTATTGAACAAAGAGGGCTAAGAGTAGATGGAATCTATAGCATTGTACCTATGAGCCATGGCAAGTCATCCTTGCATTCAGCGCTCAATCAAAGTAAGGTCTTGTATTCTTTTACTTGCACAGTTGAATCTCCCWTAAGCAGACATCCTTGCATCTCGAGATCTGATTGTAAAATTGATCATAAACAATACAATGAAAGAACCATTACACTTTGGACAATGTGTTTAATGATAAGCCTGCGTAGCGGCTCTAGGGGGGGGGGGGCAGAGAGGGGGGGACTCACTGTCTTTTCAAGCTATCAAATGCTTAATAAACCAGCTTTATTGTTTTTGTTTTGGTTTCCAGTGTTCTCTCAACAGCCTAATCATTATTTTAACAGCAAATTTAAAATGTTATTCTTCTTCTTCTTCCTAGTACCCCGTCTCTTTCTAACTAGAAAATCCTTACGGGGGKTCTTAAAACAATAAAATCCCCTGAAAATGTCGATGCTCGATATGTTAATGATGTCTTCGGGTAGGGAGTTCCACTCSCTGATCGTTCTTGAAAAGAAGGAGTATTTGTGGTAGTCCGTTCTTGAGGACATATTCTTTAAGGCTTTGCTGTTGGTATGCCTACTCCTCCATTGCTTTGGTTCAAGTGTAGGTAGGCCATCAWTTGCAATGAGGCCATGGATAATTTTGTACATCATCAAGAGTCGATTTACCTTCCGTCTATTCCGTCTATATTCACAACAGTAATTTAAAACGGCTTCTTTCACACGAGCACACAATTTAGCTTTTGCTTTATCCCCTCCTCCCACAACCCCCACCCCCACCCCTATCCGTTTTCTCCCTCCTCTCCTCCCCTTGAGCTGCCACGCAGGCTACATGTAGTTTAATCAACAGACTTCAAAGTGAAGGAGGGAGTCAAAATCTAACCCTCTCAAACCACACCAAAACAGCATCAAAATCGAAAATTACCACTCCAGAAATGTTCATAAACTATTGAACCTTCTTTATTGAAGTTTTTTGATATTTCAAGAATGAAAAGATACGGTTTAAAAACGATATTTTGACATGTGAAAAACCATTAAGATTGCCGACACAGGCAGCCCAACTCCCGTACCTTCTCAGAGACTGGGAAGCCTGTGTTTGACAAATTTTGATATGGAGCAACACAGTTTAACATTTCTATCATTGATTCATATCACCGACAATTGGTGTTGAAAGCTTTATGAGTTTTGAGCAATTGAAGAATTACTAAAGACACTAAACACCTGTTAATATCAACCTTGTCAATCGCAGATCCTGGTCAAGTATTGATGACTGATCAAGAATGGTGCGACCCACTTGTGATAGCAGCAGTATTAAAAATGTACTTCCAGGAATTACCAACTTGTCTTTTCACTGAAGAGAAATATGATGAGTTTATACACGTCTCACAAGGTATGACTACTAGAACCTGGGTTTTCCTTGCTCCAAACCATAGGCATACTAGAAAAAAATTAATAAACCAAATAACCACTGGCACTATACGAAATAAAATATACTCCTAATTTTCTCATCTTTAGATTTTTTTTTTAATTTCATGTATAAAATGTGTCTTGTGTACTTTTTTGCC